AGTGGGTTTCTGTGTAATCCCTTCTGGGGAGCAGTTCCTTTCAGAACTGTTTCTAGCAAATTAAATGGACCTCTAGGCTGGAAAGGTTGTCCCTGGTATATTTTCTCAACTTGTTTAACTGCTTGGACTAAAGACAAAAGTCCCTTTTCCCACTGGGAATATGTCTGTTCTGTCTCTTTAAATGCGGTTGAGTTAAACCTTAAAGGCCTTTTTGGCCGGTTTGGCCAGTTTGGAATAGATTGCAATAAGTGCCATGTTCTGCAAAACCCCATTCTGCTATAATAGGGTCATGGGGGTGTATTGGCTGATATGTCTTTAATTCCTGTATTAGGGTTTTGACTGCCTCTTCATGTTCTGGCTTCCATTCCCATGGTTTTCCTTTTCATAAAACTGAGTACAGTGGGTGAGCAATGATAGAAAATCCAGGTACATGTTTCCTCCAGTACCCTAAAGTACCCATAACCTGTTGTATTTCTTAGACTGGGGCTTCTGCAATTGTTCCATTTTACTTAGAGTGTCCGGTGGAATTGCTGCACTATCTGCAGTCCACCAGGTATGTAAAAATTTTATTTCTCTACATGGTACTTGACATTTTTCAGGTGGAACCTCAACTTCTGCTTTGTGTAGTGCTTGCCACACTGCTACTGCTGCTGCTTCCCCCACTCTTTCAGGGGAAGTCTCTCCAATCAGAACATCATCTATATATTGGTACAGTTTCACATCCTGAGGAAGTGAGACTGTCTGTAAAAGTTCAGCAAGTGCAGCATGAGCAATTGTAGGTGAATGTTTATAGCCCTGTTCTGTTAAAGGTGTATTGTATACCTTCCCTACTAAAAGCAAATTTCTCTTTATCTTTCTCCTGCAAGGGGACCATAAAGGACGTATCTTTCACATCTTGTACACCATCCATGGGTGTGTAGCTGCTTGTAGCATGGCTGTTAAAGTTGCAATATTGGGTACTGCAGTTGTTAGCGGAGCTGTGTTGGTGTTTAGGTGCCGATATTCTGTTGCCAGGTGCCAGCTCCCATCTGGCTTTCAGGCTGGCCAGATGGGTGAATTGTATGGGGAGTAGGTTCTGGAAATAATGCGCTGTTTTTCCAAGACTGCTATTATGTCAGAAATTCCATTTCGTGCCGCAGCAGAGATCTGATTCTGTGGTACATTGGTAATTTTCAAATTGGGTAGATCTTCTTCAACTTCTACCAGGGTTGGGGTCGGTACAGCTCCACACACCAGTTTCATCTGGTCAAAACATTGAAACTCAAAATATTTTCATTGTGCTTTTTAATCACAAAGCAAGTAGACCACATGTGCTTCTCACCTGGAGCCATAAATTAATTTTCGTGGTTTGGCATATAACACTTGCTTTGTCACCCCTTTCTTTAACTCTTTGCTACCCAGGTCGCACACCCAGTTTCTTGGCATCCTGTTGCGTTAGTACTGAAATTTGTGCTCCCATATCTATTAGAAATTTCACCAGTTGTTGTCAAGGACCAACTGGAATCAAAATGTGCATGCCTCGTTCATCTAGTGGCTTTAATAGTGCATAATCTACTGTGGCGGATATCGGGGTATCACTGGCTTCTCCCTGTGTGTGCATAGCTTGTATGCAGGCGACTTTTGTGACAGCAGTGGAGAGCTCGCTTAGGGAACAGATGGGAATTATAGAAGATTCACCTTGTTCCAAGACACCTATTCCCCCAGCCCAATAAGCCACCCTATTGGTGATAGAATGGGATTCATTTGCCAGGTTGGGTTCTAGGTTTAAGAAAACTCCTGGACCCCAATAACCGTTTGCTTTATCTCCACTTAACATTATTTGGTCGCTGCTGCTCACGCAGACGCACCACAAATATTGAGTTTCAGTTTCACCTGGCTTTCTGCTGTATTTCTCTTGTAAGTTTGCCAACTGCAACGGATCCCAGGGAGTGGTTTCTGTAGTATATCATGGAGCACCACCCCGAGGTCTTTCAGTGTTCTGTTTTAGTGATGGGTCTAGCCTCATATTCAGGGGGTTCTGAGGGGAACAGAGAGGCATCATTTCCTTCATTGTAGTCATCAAGTTCACCCCAAATATCACCATCCCAATCCTCTGGGGACACGATTAGTTTCCTAATTTGCATGGGGTCAGGGGGATGTGGAGCCTGCACGAGCAGCATCTTGACCTTTTCTTCCAACTTTTGTTTTTTCTCCTTTTCTTCCTGTATCTGCTTCTGTAGCTGCTCAATTTGTAAGGACAGTAGTAACTCAGCTGCCTTCGTGCCTTCTATTTCATGTCTTAGATCTTATTTCTGTCTGTTATTATTTTTCTTATACTGACAGGAGGCTTCTAGGCAGGTACCTAACATCTTACAAATAATTCCCTTTCCTTTACCATCTTCAGCATTTCCTCTTGCTAATTTTAGTTGTCCTTTGATGGCACCCCAGTCATGCCAATGTTCGCAAGCCCATTCTTCTGAGAATTTGGGACTCAGACTTATTCTGTGCCTCCATAAGTAATCAGTGATACTACTTGCCATCCTGCTGACTGTGCCAAGCTGTCACTGGTAAGATTTAGATTGCTTGAAGAACTACGGTCAAAGGTCTCAGCAAAAGTGGTTTTATTGAAATACGATGATGTAAAAGTGAGACTTAACAAAGTTTGATGGCAAGGTTCACTCTGTTACTTACTGCAGAGGATATAATAACGATTCCAAGTTACCAACATGAAATCTTAGTGTACTATAATACAAGATTATGCGCGATGTCGATCACTTACCAAAAATCTGCAGCGGGTAAGGGGTCTCTCAGCCTCGAGGAGTAACCTTGAGAGGTGTCCCAGCTCAAGAAGAGATCACCGCCGTGCAGCTAGCTGCTTAGCACGGAGAGCTCAAAAAAGGCTCACTCATGCTGTAATATGTATGGAATAAAGTGGGGGGGTTGACTCGTAGTCAAATTATGTGCAATGGAGAAGGCAAGAATGAGACTCCTTGTACCCACAACTTTCTTTGTTCGTTGACAAATGAGTCTTGGAAGAACCACCTGCTATTCGTGTGTTAATTGCATGGTTGGTGTTCCAGTTTCCAAGCCTGTATGCATCAACGTTCACCATGTCACCCTGTTCCTCTGTGGGTTTTCAGAGAATAGATTGGAAGTAGAGAAGTTCTTGCCCAGTTACAGCCTAGGCTTTTACCTCCTTTGGAGCCTGAACCAGACTGCCACTAGTTTGGTCAAGGAGTCGAATGCATCCGTCAGACACCTGACATGCTATAGCAGAGAGAGCAATACAAAACAATGTTACAATGATGGATCACGCTTCAGTGAATCTTGCAGAGTAGTTATGCAGATATGTTACGGAGAATGGCTAAACCCCAGCATTCACCACTTACAGTGTTTCTGATTCACGCATTTTGAATTGGTTTCAGACACTCTGCTTCTATGTTAGTAAATTAAACAGCACTAGGCCAAGACCCAGACCTTGGCACTGGAACACGATCCTTTATACTGTTAAATAGTTACTGTACCCCTAGTACAGTTTTGGCTGATGCTGATGGGCAGTTTTGCAAACCATTCCTGGGCATGGTTTGAGAGGGATGTTTACAAATAGATAAGCAGTATGTCAAAAAAGTGGATATTTTCATATTTTAACATCTTACCCTATTGTCTCCATTGAAATTTTGGGAATCAATGTAGAATAGATTCAGATAGTTTCAGCTGTGATTTTTATGTTTGCTAATATAAATATTACAGGCCAAGTTTCACAAAAGCAAAAGCTTGTCCCATCTCAACCTTATGTATTGGCAGTTTTGTTGCTCTAAAGAAGAGTAAGTGGAGAAAAAGAACCCGCAAAATGATGTCAGGTTGGAAATCAATGTCTTTTTGTGTAAGTAATTGGAAAACCTTAATAAGGCACGATTTTGAGAACACTTCAGACAAAATAGTTTCAGTGTTGTTTGACAAAGTCGGAATGTTAAATAGGCCTGTGATTTCCACTGCTTAGCTTTGTGGATAATTTATTATTGGCTCTTCATCCTCAGGAGCGTGAGAACAAGTCTGAATTTATTATATTGTAGATGTTACACCAGTTTGTGTGCCTATATCCTATGTGAATTAAATGGAACTCTGAAATGGAAGAGGAAATGCTGTATCTCCATCTGTTTTAGAAAAAATTTTTATGCACGGTTATAGTTCTTTTGGAATGTATATGTTTGAATGTGTACAGACGGCAAAGGACACTTAAGGATGGTGTGATTGGTTTTCTAACAAAACACAAATACTAAGATTTTCTTAAATAATACACTGTTCTACAAATGAAATACTTTTATTATAGAAAGAAGTTACATATGTTTGAAATGAATCAGGTCATTAATTTATTCCTCTTTGATTCCTGCCTATCCACACATGTATGTTTTGTTACAGGATTCTAAGATGAAACATAATAATACTTTTTTTTAAAAAAGGAATATCAACTTTAACATACAAGCCATTCAGCTCTGACTGTAATGATCAAAATTCTAGAGACAGTTCTGTTAAAAAATGTTGAGAATTAAACAGCAAGCCAGACAAGATTGTGACTGAACTTGTGGATGTCTCAGTGTGCTTATCGCACAATAGCAGGGCTGGTATGGCCTACAACAATACAGAATACTTAATAGGGCTAGAAAAAGTGATACACTTACTGGATTTTTTACTTGTAAGTTCTAACCAATTTGCAGAGCAGAGTTGTAGCAGCTAAAAGAGCATCTGTCATGTAAAGGGGAGAACTACTGTTTGACAGTCAGAATCGGTACCGTCCAGTGTGGCAGTGGATTATATGTTCCATGCAATTACTTGCCTTCGGTCTGTCACTTAATTATATAGTAAGATTTAAGTGCTTTCATTGTCATTCTTAAAAATTTGCAGCTTTAAAGGTCTCTTGCATTAATGTTAGATGGTAGGGAGAATTGAAGATAATTTAGTATGCTTTTGAACCTGCAGTTTCAAATTCTGAAATGAAATTTTTTTTTTCTTTAACCTTTTAGGGTTCAGTGGGTGAATCAGGACCTAAGGGTGAACAAGTAAGTCATGTTAGAGATCATGGTACTTTCAAGTCACACTACCAAATGCTGCAGTACATTACTTTGACTAAATCTGAAGGCTGACAGTATGTCTTTTTTTGATACAGGGTGCACCTGGAGCAGAAGGAGATGGAGGAGAAAAGGGTGACTTAGTAAGGCATTACTTTCTCTTCACCTGATCTAATATTTTGTTGTCATAAATGAAAACTTTGAAGTATTGTTGGAGTACTTCAAGCATATGGTTTGATCATTGGAAGTCACATTTCAGTTTTATGCTAACTGGGCATTGCAGAGCACAGCAGTTCTATTAGCCTGGTCACGCTTTTTTTTTTTTGAAAGCACTCTGAAATACGCATATTCTATTAGGTATATAATACAGTACAGGCTGCCTTGAAGGGGGGGTGTGTGTGTGTGTGTCTATATAGAGAGAGATAAATACATATGTAGAGATACACTAAGCATTTATATAAATATATATATGTATATACCTACACACACACATAAATTCTTGGTGTTTCAGGCAGTGAGGATGAGGAGGTAGTTTAATGCAGGTGAAACAGGAGCACAGATAAATATCCTTAATAACTCAGACTTGATGGAAATATTTTGTATTGCCTTTATCTTTAGAAATAAGATGTAGCAACTGGCTGTTAGGGAGAGGGAGAATGGCCTGGGAAGAGGCTGTGGCACTGTGATATTGCTGGAGGAAGGTGTGTGCAGGAGTGTGGCTTGTTGTGAAATCACATGGGTAATGCCTGGGTCATGTGCCCTTCGGTGAAGAGGATTTCTTTTCCTGCAGGAAGAGAAATGCACTAGTCCAGCAGCTCCTATGGGGCCCCATTCAGCAAAGCCAGAACTTGATCTTTCAAAAGGAAGTAAGCTGCTCCCTATTTAAAAAAAGGTAGCCAGGTTGTGTGCTGGAAATGAGCACTTTTTTCCTACGCTCTGCAATTCGGAAAGGCTTCTAAAGTTAGTTAACACTCCTAGTGAGCTAGATGTCCAGTAATGCAGCTTTACCATCACTATATAGATTCCCAGGAAGCAATACTATGGGTTGTTTAAGTGTGCTGCCAGTTAGTCTGTTTTTAAGCCGATAACAGTTGTTATTTCTATTTCACTTACGGCATATTCATTAACAGACAAAGTGGCCTTTCTGACCTTTAGAAGCCAATTATTTCACCAATGACATTTAGGAACTGGGAAAATACAATTTTCAGAAATCTCTCCAAGAGTAATATGAAAACACCGAAAAAGAAGAGTTAATCTATTTCATAGGTGATTGCAAAATTTTGAAACTTTTTTTTTCCAATTCAGAGGGAAAACTAAAATCTTCTGAATAGTGGGACTGCTATTCTCAGTCAAGTGATAGAGGGATCTTGGGGTTGTTCAAGCCAGGAGCGAAATTGTTGGGAACAGGAACTTCTAGGGGTTTGGCTTCTTCACAGCACATTGGGTAGACACCTGCCTAGTTTCTGTTGCAGTTTTAGCAGGGCTAACACAACACTGTAAAATATCCATAATTCTGTCAAACTAGAAAATCCTTATTAAATAATGTTTCCTCTAAAGCAATCTACTAAGATTGTCCTGTGCTGTAACTGTGGTTTGAGAGGTTAGAGTCTAATTCTAAGATAAGCAATACAAAACCAATTATAATAAACATGCTTTCTTATTTGCACCTTACAGAAATGTTTTTGAGAAAGGAATTTTACGAAAAAAATCTGAAATTTAAGTTTTATTTCCAAATGAATTATAATTCATTTGAGGTGCAATTTTGTGTAAATCAACTAAATATATGAACTTTTTTTTTAATAGTGAAAAAAATCATGTCAAGTTTACTGCATTTGTAATGTCTATGATAATGGATACTCTCTTCTGATATAGTTTTCTTGTTTTTGCTTAGGGTGATATGGGATTACCAGGAGCAAAGGGAGCTGTAAGTATAATGAATAGCACCGTTAGAGAAAGGGAGAGATCTAGTAGATCAGATAGATGGTTCTCTGATTTAAGAAAGAAAATACAAATAATGAGCTGAGCTCTTTATCACAGTTAAATTGAATGAGTTCCAATAGCATTTCTTCTGTTTAAATTTTGAATACTGTTAATATTAAAATGAATTAGCTTTGGAAAGGAATTCGTGTCCTGAATTCTAAGAAGTTCCTTAAATGAGAAGCATCATTCAGCAGCAGTTTTCTGGCCAACTAATTTTTTTTTTTTTTAAGGAAATGAATGCACTCTTTGTACAGTAGGTGTTGTATAGAAAGGAGGCCCAGTGCAGTGGCTGCGTGCTGCCTGTAATCTTTACACTGTGAAAAAGCTGGCAGCAGGACTGTAATGTCTGTGAAAACAGATTCCTTTTTTTTTTTTTAAATAACAAAATGATAGCTTTGATGTGGAAGGTGAGCAGAAGCTTGTATGTCACATAAGAAAAAGAATTTGAGAGCTGAATGCATTCTTTTATTTCAGAATCACTGAAGAGTGGGATTGTTACAGTAGCTGACAGTTTGGGCTATGATACTAACGTATTAACAGTTCTGCCTACAGGGAACTGAGGTTGAATGTAACAAAAAGAGCTATGCTTGTGTTCTCAGTGGCCTGTGTGACTTTGGGGCTAAGCAAACACAAGCGAGAGAGTGTTTACTGCTGATCCAGATCTTACAGGAAGGACATGAGGAAGAGAGAGAGTAGAGGAGAAATCCGTAGTTTTATTCCCCTGGATTTTTAAAATCCTCTTCTCTTGATGAGACCCTAGAGTGCTTGTCATACTAGTGAGTACATACACAGGGATGAGTAATCCATCAGGGAACCTGGTAACTTGCCAGACTGGGCAAGAAAGAAATGGTGGCTTCTTGGTTGTATAGTCCACGAAGGGAATTTTGCTGTCGTCTTAATATATATGTTGAAGTGTGTTCTTTGGGTTTTCTTCTGACAGGGACAGCAATTAGCTGTCTGAGATGCAGCGTAGATGGAACTGAAATGGCTCCATCTTGTGGATTTAACTGATACCACAGCTGAGTAATTGGCCATGGTTTTGAGCATCTCTTTCAGCAAGTGGTGGTTTTTTTTTTCCCCAGTAGATTTGGGAAGCCAATAAATATGTAGGATTTTTTTTTTCTGTTTGTTTTGGTTTGGGGGTTGGGTTTTGTTGTGGTTTTTCGAGTTTGTTTGTTTGTTGGTTGTTTTTTTTCTTTGTTAGAAAGATCAATATTATTGATCAATAGTAGTACAATAGCTTGTATTGAAAATAACTCGGAGGCGCCTACTGGCGTACTCTCTAGGAAAGGGAATGAAAAGCATTTGGAACAAGCAGAGAGCTGGAATTTTTGTAACTAATGGAGCACTTAATGTCTAGAAAAGTTGCATGTGACATACACAAGGACAGAAGTAGAAACCGAGTATAGGCAATCTTTGTTCTTTGACAAAAAACCAAATGTTTTGTGCATGTCACTATGGATGCCCATTTGCCTCTTTTGACAGAATATCTTTTTTTTCCACTTCTCCCCTTTAAGGGAGGAATACAGACCTCCTTTTATGTTTATAAATCACACAACCACCGACTCCAGTCGCTTATTTAAAAAGAAGCTGTTCAACAACTCTACGTCCCAGCATTCATTGCTTTGCATTTGCAAATAGCTCCTGTCACCATTTTGATATGTCAGAATGAGTCTAACACTAGCATAGCAGTCCTTTGAAAATCTTCTCTTTCATTGTCAGATTGGTAATCCTGGAGAGCCTGGTTCCCGTGGGCCTGAGGGAAGTCGGGGACTGCCTGGCATGGAAGGGCCACGAGGCTCACCTGGACCGCGAGGCTTGCAGGGTGAACAGGGTGCCCCAGGTCTGCCTGGCAGCCAAGGTCCGGCTGTAAGTACTGTTTTAATGTGATTGGTATATTTTGAACGCTTAGCTGTCACTCACACCACTCCTTTTCTTGCATCAGGAGCTACGTACGCATGCAAAACCCAAGTGCCACAGTAGAGTTTGAAATACACTGTACCTCACAACAGGTACATTTGTGCACCAGAAAAATCTTAGGGTTGTATACAGTTAGGTCCTTGGGTCCTCAGCTTTCAGTTCAGTTCCATTTCCTTACACCAGCCCCATTGCTGTAGTGTGCATGTACCATGTTTGATACATGGCTGTATCAAACATAGTATCTACCTTGCTAGTTAAATTGACTTCAGCTGGAATAGTTGCACTTGCATGGACTGGAACATCTTTCATTGACCGGCCAGCATTTTTCACATCAGGCACACTTATAAAAGGTACTGTGATATCAACTGTTTTTTTAAACTATTATTTTTTTAACCCTAGGGAAAAGAACCAACCGATCAACACATTAAGCAGGTTTGCATGAGAGTCATGCAAGGTAAATATGCTAAAAAGTATTTGAAGTTTCTTGTGCATTTAAATCAGGATGATAATCTGCTGTGGAGGCAACCAAGATTTTCCCACTGTTATCCAAAACTAATAGCGTGGCCTCAGCAGGGGACCTGGCAGAAAATCTTCCCACATGTGAATGTGGACACAATATGAGAGAATATGAGAAAGAAGTCCCTTATTTTATGTATACTTTGTATCCTCATGGAAATACCTGTTGATTCTATGCTATTACTATAGTAATGAGGCAATAGACCAGAGTGTTTTTATGAAATACATATATTTTGTGTAGAAATCACTTGCTATGTTTACATATATAAAAATACATGGCTTCACTGAAAGTTTGTTTTGATATTTGTACTCATACACTATTAGATTACAGTAAACAAACTATGTGTGAAACAGGTAAAAAAAAAGAGGAGTGCAGAGAGAGGCTTTCTGTAGATAACATACCATAAAATGAAAGCAGTAGGCAGATGTTCAAAACCCTAATTGTATCGCTCAGTTCTTCTTGACACACACAGAAATCTGGAGCTTTTCTAATACAGTTGGGTGCATGGGATTTACCAAGCTTAAAAATTTATGCTGCCCTGTAAGCACAAAAGATACTTTTCAGTACTTGCTGTTGAAGGTCCTCTCAGAGGTATTATGCCTTTGTAATGTTAGGCATTTACCAGAATGAAATTGCTGCTCATGACTTAATCTAAAAATTATTAGTAGTCATTACTGTTCTTGATACTGCCCAACAGGGTATTTTTTTTTTTAAACTTTCTATAAATAGGATAAAAAGGCCTTTTAAAGTGATCTCTTGAAAGACACAGTAATATTGAGGAGGATTATAGCCAAATCAGATATGATGCACGAGTTTATTCATAATCATCAGAATTAGCAGTGAAGAGAAGGATATGGGAAAAATCTAGACTGTTTTCATTGCATCCCCCTCGAGAGCCTCTATAATTGTCAATGCTGTCATGCTTTAAAAAAAAAAAAAAAAAAAGACAAAAGGGAAAAAAAAAGAAGAAATCAATCCAAGTGGGTCCCTGGAACTTTGTCAGCTTAAGGACAACCGTAACTGAAGTTCAGCTCCTGAGTAGGCTTTGCCCGCAGATTGCTATCCCCAGTCTTCCTCATATATCTGCTAGCCATAGTTCCTGTTTTATTTCAGACCCTTTGCACCACTCCACACCCATCTTCTTAATTTTTCTTTGTTGCCGACACAAAATAACTTGTCTTGCCAAGTCATGCAGACTTTATAGCAAATGTCATATGGAGTTGTGTGTGGCTGTATCCAGAGAAAGTTATTTCTAAGGCATGCTTGGAAGATGGATTTGAAGTCTAGAATAGAAACTTTAAGCAAAGAGAGGATTGCTCTCATGCTGTTACAGCAGTGGCCTGAAGGAGGGATGAGGAAAAGGGAATAGCTAGCTTCGAACATTCCAAGGAATGGCAAGCTGATCCTGTGCCTAATGAAGAGCAAAGCTCCTGCTGATTTACCTTAAGAAAAGATCAACATAAAATGTTCAATTATTTATCAAATGTGAGCTCATAAGCACCAATTTGAGGGGTCTCTTTCCTCTGAAAAAAAAGGCCTGCACTTACTTTGCAGGCCAATGTAGATGACTGCCCTTATGCTTTTCAGCTGTTCCTTCTTGCAAAGATGGATCTTAATAAGGATTAACAAGTAGTAACAAAGAGGGATATTTGCTCTTTTAAGAGGCAGCAATTGCATGAGTAAGTTTTCTTACTAGGTGGTTGAAATTTAAATGACATAGAAAATTATAAGGACATTTCTAAATAAACCATATACATTTAAGTCATTTGAGCTTGCAAACATCAAATATTTAAGATGTAGGCTTCAGAGTGAGCAGCTTCACAGTGTGCCTATGCAGTTTCCTTCTAGTAGTACTAAGATAATACCTTATAGGTAACAAACTTTGTAAATAGCACTGTATATAAGGAAAGTGCTGTACTGTGATCTGTTGGTTTCTGTAGCAGAGAATACACATTCTTCTTCAGTGAACATGAGAATCTCTCCATTCAGATTCACTTACTGCTTAATTCTGTCCTCCTGTTCAATGCAGAACAACTAGCTCAGCTGGCAGCCAGTCTTAGGAGGCCAGAATTTGGTGCTCCAGGTCTTCCTGGCCGACCGGGGCCACCAGGTGCTCCAGGGCCTGCTGGCGAAAATGGCTTCCCAGGACAGCTTGGACCCCGTGGCTTACCTGGCCTTAAAGGTCCTCCCGGTGAGATCGGTCGTAAAGGTCCTAAAGGTAAGAAATTCTGTAACTGGCTTTCAGTTGTTGACTGCTCCAGTTTTTTGTGTGGTTTTTTTTTTCCCCTTTGGATTACAGATTGTGGATGTACATTGTACGCATGTAAAGTCCAAAAAGATCGTGAATTAGGAACCTAAGCTGTTTCCTGTACCTGTTGCATCAGTTGCCCCAGTGATTAAAGGGCACATTGGCCTGGCCTCAGCAAGACTTGTTTATAAATCTGTTTTTTGTCAACAAATCACTTATACAATATGAGAAAAGACAGGCATCTGCCTTGAACTAGAAGTAAGCAGCTGAGTCAGATTCCTAATATTAATTTTCCCTCTCGTGGACTTTTGAGGTTTGTGTTTTTCATATGCTGAAAAGTTCCAGCAGTGATTCCCTCTTTCCTCCACTCAGTCTGGCTGTGGACCTCACTTCAGCTTTTGGGACCGCAAGTCTTGCAAACATAAACAGCCAGATTCATTTGCTAATCTCTAGCCTCCTTTTCTAAGTCTGTCTAGTTTCTCACATTACAAGTGACTGATAACAATCTGTCTCTTTTATCTGGGTATAATACTTGAGCCGTTTAAGATCATTGCACCATGTACCACAATCTATTGATTCTTTGGAAAGAACAAAACCATAATAAAATTGACTAACCTTACAGTTTACAAAAAAACTTTGATCTAAGTTAATCTCTTTTGTTCCTGACTGAGAGGGTTTATATACCTCCAAAGGATTATACAGTAGAATTTTCTGCAAAGTCTTATGACCACTATGTATGTATTAGTTTCTATTCAGCAGTGATTTCGATTTTGTTTTCTTGAAGGAAGGTTTTATTTAAAAATTGTATTTCTGCACAAAGCTGGTCTGTCGCTGGATTAGAGCATTTGTCTCAAGTTTTATTTGAAAGTAAAATTGGGAAAACCTTTGAGAGAAGGAATAGAACACAAACAAAGCAAACCTTAACAGCATTTTGTTGCTGTACTGTTTTAATTCAATGTAATGTCATCTGTATTTGCAGAAGCAACAAAAAATGGAGATACAAAGGTGATCTGATATTCTGAATTTGTTTCATCACACAGCAGGCTGCACTGTATTAATATTAAAAAAAAAAATCTACAGAGCATTAAAAAAAAAAAAACCAAACAAGCAAAATGCTTTGTTTCCTATCGCAATTGTCATCAAATTCCAAGTTACCTAACAGTAAACCTTGAAATACAATTACAGAAACAAGAGAAGTGGTGAATGCTCTCATGTGCAAGAGCTATCATGATGCTACATGGCAGGCACCCTGAAAAAAATCTCAGTGCTTCACTCTGAGTTCCTGCTAGTTACCAGGGTTCCACAGAGGTCACAGAGATGAACTGACTTTCCCCATCCATCTGGGGAGTTGTCTGAGATGGGAGTGAGAGGAAAAGGGTACCTAGGACATGTGATAAAAGAGAAAAGGAGGAGGATGTTGAGAATAGTTTAGAAGGGCATGATAAATAGGAGAGAGAAATAAAGAATATGTTACCATGAGATAGAGCAGAAGATACAAAGGTACAGCATCAACAACAGCAGAGTCAAAAAGAGCTGGCTCATGGAAGGCTGTTATAGTTACTTTAATGAGCAATCTGGGGTAGTGAAGGAGGGCAGAATTGGAAATAAGAAGTCGGAGAAGTTTGGGGTAACCAGCAGTAAACACTATTCCAAAGTGTTCAGTAGCAGGAAATAGCAGAAGTATATACGGGTAACCTGACATCAGCGCTTCCAGTAGCTGTATTTACAAAGACAGGCTGAATCTCCATGTTGACTAGGCAGTCTGAAGCGTAGAGATAAGATTCCTCCTCTAGTACCCTGTGTGCATCTTTTATTGAAACTTGGACTTTTGTACTGACTCCTGTTTTCTGCTGTGCCATTTCTAGGCAAGCCCCAAACTTAACTGTCTATTTGAACTCTCCTCACTCCAGAACAAGAAAGTATGGAAGTATAAAATAAAGCTCACTCAAACATTATTAGGCATATACTTGCGACTTTTGACTTACAGCAAAAAAAAAAAATCAAGTGTTTACGTAGGATATTCACACATGATAGATATATGCACTTTTATGGAATATATGCAGTGAACAGAATTTGAACTTTACAACTAAAACAACAAAAAAAGCTTCGTCTTACTAAGATACTTCTTGTTTGGAGCAACATATGAGTTTGAAGAAAAGCTGGGCACCCACCAAAGAAAAGTCTCCATAATACCAGTATATGAGAACAAAGTCCTTTGTTTTACTTTTATGAGCGTCTTATGTGGATGTCAACAGAATACTGTAACGTGTGCAAGGCAGCTTCTCTTTTCTTCTCTGCACTAGCTGTCTCAAGGACCAGCACTTGAGAATTTTTACTTATTAGCGGAGTTCACATGGTCTTGCAAAAGCCATTTGCCAGTACCCACAGTCTGCATTCCAAAATAGCCTGTATAGTTCTGTGAGTTTGGTTTATTTCTGTTATATACGCTATGGCATATTTCATGTGGTACTTACTGTCCCGCCCAGATGTTGTTTTTTTGTTTCCCTCCAACATGTCTGCTTCTGAGTATAACTCAAATGGCAGAAAAAATCCAAACAAACCCCAAGCCTCTTACAAGGACATGTGTCAGAACATCGTTCAAAAATGCTAAGAATATATACAGCCACCTGAATTCTTTGCTTATTAGTCATTCACCTCTGAGAGGGAACTTACTGAAAGTAATACTCCAAGCAGGCTGTAACTAATATTTGTGAATTTGCTTTAGGTGAACCAGGAGAAAGAGGAGAAAGAGGATTTCCAGGCAGAGGACTGAAAGGTTACCCTGGACCAAGAGGTCTTCCAGGTAAATATAACAAGGATGAGGGTAAAGAAGAAAAGATGTAGTAAAAATTTATTCAGAACTGATAACTCAAGCCGCCTTGAAAAGATAAAAGGAGTCCATTGAGAAATAAGCTTCCAAATAACAGTATTTCATCATTTTTACTTCGTAAGTAATAATACAGTCACAAATCAGAATTAAAAGCTCTTTTACTAAAGAGCTACCATCCCATTTATCTCAGTGTAGAAAGATTAGGAAAAATGTATACAAAGCATGAAAAAAAAAAAAAGAGGCAATTGCATGTGTATATATGTATATGATTGCCTCTTTTTTTTATATAAGTATTTATTTATATATAAAATAAAACAAGAAAAAGGCCACAAGCCCCAGATTATCTCACTGGCAGCCACAGCAGTCTTCAAAATCTCCATTCATAATTTAGGACATTCAAAATACAATTCTCCTTTATTTTTGTGGTAATTAATTTCAGTGTTACGTGAGAGGGGTCCAGGTCGGATTCTTGCTGATAAGTGCAGCACAACTGGCCTCTAGTGGCCAGTGAATGAAAATAAACATATTATTTCCATGGGTATCTCTCTACAATGCGTTTCTGTATGTATATATAGACAGAAACTACCAAAATGTGGTAGTTTTGTAAAAAGGAGAAAAAAAATCAGTTGAGTATATACTGATACCTAGGACGTCTGTGAAACTCAGAGTTGTCTCTTTAGAAATTTATCATTGGAAGAGGCTTACTAAAATCACTATATTTCATCCCTTCATTGAAGATTTAGAAGTAAAAAGATACTTCAGTGCTCAGCAGTTCCACTCTATACATCTATTTCCCCAACATATCTGAGTGGAGAATAAAAATAAATTCTTGATACATCTCTTTCTGGAGCGCTAACATAACTCTGAAGTAGTGAGTAGCATCTACACCTTCATACGCATTGCATTGCCAACGGGGTTGTCTACAGTGCTGCCATCAGTTATACTGCATAACTTTTTATAGCAGCATATCTGCTCCAGTATAACTGAGGAGGGTTGGGCCTGAAATTTCATTGCTGTAGATGTGTAAACACAGCCTGGTTGTCTATTAGAGGAAAACTGGCTCTCTAAGTAGGCACCTCTCTGGGGAGCAGTAAAAAACCATATTCATACGACTTTTAAGAACAGGATGTTCGGTAAAGCTACATATATACTAAGCAAGTAATATGCTGCCAATTTTTAGACCTGCATCCACTTTTCCAGGTGAACCAGGCAAACCCAGCTATGGCAGGGAAGGCCGTGATGGTGAACGAGGTCTCCCTGGGGTGGCCGGTCAGCCTGGGGTTCCTGGTCCTCCTGGCCCTCCCGGCCCTCCTGGGTACTGTGAGCCATCGTCTTGCAGAATGCAGGCTGGGCAGAGAGCTGGTAAGAACATGAAAGGGCCATGAATGGGCAACGCAAGTGCCACGAAGTGTCAGCATCAATTTACTTCCTGCACAGACAGCTGAGAAAAAAAAAGGAATGAAGGAGAAATACAAACAAGGAGAAACCTTTCAACCAAGGTTTCAGTAAGGCATTTTTAACACACTGGTTGTACATTCCTTCTGAAGGTGTACTTAGCAACACAAGCTGGAACAATGGTGCTTACAGAAATACACAGGTGATGCCTTCTGGCTCTTTCTCCCTTTGGGGGGGGGAAAAGGCACTTGTCTATTTTTATTTTTATTTTGAGTTTCTGTGATTTCTCCTCCTCCCCTACTTAATTCCTGTGTATGATGTACAGTGAAGTAACGTGTCTTCAGCCATCAAATAAAAAAGGAACAGTTTATTTACTTCAGTTGTAGCTATTCTTTTGTGGTTATAAAATAAATTCCAGTGCACTCCCAAGCAAATTACATCACTTCATGCACAGTCATTTCATTGTATGTATGTGCTGTACAGGATATGCTAAGCCTCCCTCAGCTCTTCAATTCAATTCTAGAAACACAGCTGGGAGGCTGTTCTTATGAAAACCTGACACGTTTTATGCTGCAAGGTCTCTGTAAAGGTATGATCACTGGGTTCTCATGAATAAGCCATGTGGAATAACCTTTTCATTTGCCACTCCAATTTGTGTTGCATTTATAATTTTCTATGAAGCCTATTCCAGCTTGCCTCCATCTATGTTAAATTAAAATAAAAGGCTAGAGGCCACTGTCAAGGGAATTTTAAGTCCCAGAAATAGAAAAGTTTTATAGTAGAGATTACAGATTTTGAAGTAACATACGTGGTTGTACAAAAAAACCCAAATAAATAATGTTTTAACCCTGTGCTGGTTTTGGCTAGGATAGAGTTAATTTTCTTCCTAGTAGCTAGTATGGGGCTATGTTTTGGATTTGTGCTGGAAACAGTGTTGGTAACACAGGGATGTTTTTGTTACTGCTGAGCAGTGCTTACACAGAGTCAAGGCCTTTGCTGCTTCTCACACCACCCCAACACCGAGGAGGCTGGGGGTGCACGAGAAGCTGGGAGGGGACACAGCCGGGACAGCTGACCCCAACTGACCAAAGGGATATTCCATACCATAAGTCGTCATGCTTGGCATATAAAGCTGGGGGAAGAAGGAGGAAGGGGGGGACGTTCGGAGTGATGGCGCTTGTCTTCCTCAAAAGTACTCCTTACGTAACACAACAAATAAAATGTTAGTGGTAATGACAAACTGTAGTTTCACCAGCAAACTTTTATTTTGACTATAAAGTGTGTAGAACTGTTAAAAAGAAAAAAAAAACAACTGATAACAGAAGGAAAATATTATTTTCCATATGTAATGCATAAACATAATGAGTCAAAAGAAGCAAAGAAACCCCAACATTTAAATACAAATGTGAAGTGCTTTAAAAAAACGTAGTCTGAAAAACGCATAAAATTCCACAATGAAAAGAAATTTATGTGGGAGAGAAAACATTCACATGTAAAAACCAAATAATTATTACAATCAAACAAATTCAACACTGAGGGTCAGTTCAATGCAGAATCTATGTAAGTGGATAGATTAAGATTGTGACAGATTTTCTGCCTTCAAGCTGATTGGTGAGTTTTAACTTAAAATACAGAACTGAAGAATAAATCCTCAGGCCCATCATAAGTTGGTGTGGGACCCATTGGTTAATCTAAGTATTTACCAATTCTGAATCTTGTGCAAGAGCGGAAAAATTTTATCTGAAGAATGGTAGACTGTATACCAAAAAATATCAGGAACTGAATTTTAGTAACAGCACATTCAAGTAAATAAAGATTTGGAAAATAAAGGCAGGATTATGAATTTAAAAGGAAGGCCTATCAACTACGGTGATACAGAAAAAATAGTGCTAGTTTAAATAAATATATTTAGAAAGCACAAAGCAAAGGGGTTGAGAGGTTTCTCAAGCCACTGACAGCAACTTACCCATTCTAACCAGATGCTCCTGGAATCTCGGTGAAGTCCCAAGTAAATCTTGTTCTCATCTCTTTCTGGTTCAACACTATAAAATGCTATGAGATTTTTTGAACAAAAAACTAATGAAAATTACTTTTACCTATCAGGATCTCTGCCGCCACTCCTAATTCTCGAGGTTTAACTACACTGTGATAAATACATATTTTACCTCCCCAATTACTTAACTTCAGTGTAGGCAGGAACTAAGAGAAAAACAGTTTAACAACTGTCCTCAAAACGATAACCAATTCTTCATGATCCAATCTGGTATTTTCAAGTGGTGACTGCAATGCTTTCCCTGCTAGGCTACTAACAAGTATTAGTAACACTGCTGCCGAATACTGCACTAAGATATATATATGTGTGTGTGTGTGTGTGCGCGCGCGCATGTTACACATACATAGTTTATGTATGTGTGTATATATGTAAGTTTTCTGCCACAGCTATCACTGGGTTTGAGCACCCAAGTACCGGCTTCTACCAAAAGCCCTTAGTGAATATTTCACAAAGGCCAAAGTGTCTCTAGCCAAAGGAGGAGCGATGGCTCTAGAGCACCAGTTGGAGCACCCAAATGAGGCAAGAAAGCATGGCTGGGGAGGATTCCGCTAGATTTTGCTTCCCTGAATACTCTAGTTGTGATCGGAGTTTACATAGAGCCAAAAACGTATCTACAACTAAAATTTGCTTTTCCTTCAAAAAGGGAAAGCGTCAACAGATGGTACTTTCAAGGTGACTTGAAAGACAGAGCGAACAAGAAACCAAGTCCCTTAGTTTCAGAGACAAGAGTGTTGGTTCCTCCTAGCAGAGCCTAGCAGTTGTGCTCCACGTACAAACACATGATGCATTTTTGCAAATGTTTTTAAATTGCTTAGATAATTGGGCGAAATGTGTTTGCTTGACCTGCTCATCACTGTATTCTTATTTGGCCATGTAGTTTCTGGTTCCTTTAGACTTAAAATGCAGTCACTGCATCTCCTCTGCTTACGGATCACAGTAAAGAAGAAATGTCTTTGTTTTGTAGGGCACATTACTCCCATCTGATTTGTTACAGCTTCAGTTTTATTCCCCTCCCCTCAATCTTTTCTTTTACTGTTCTGTTTTGCTTGCTGCGTATGCATTCAAAAGCACTAGTAAAACTGTGGCAGCTTTAGACAACATATGAAGCAAGCTTGCTGAAGCCACTATGAAATTTGAAGAAAGAAAATCCTGTTAGTGGTCAAATTATTACCTAGCATCCTTTAAAATGCCATTGATGTGGGAGTTCTCTTTTTTCTCCTGGGAGAGTTAGGCAGCAAGAGAACCATGAAAATACCTAAAGTTACCTAAAGTTAAATGGTTCAGTGAATCAGTTTCTTGAATAAAAGTGATTGTCTTGTATTCAGACAGGGAAGTTATCTGCATCTGATTCAGAGATTATATTAGCTTCCATAAATCGTATCTATCTATATATCTATCTATATATATAAGGCCAAGGTTTTTCACTTTTTTTTTGCTCCAGACTGTAGAGCCCTAAGTTTCACCAACCCATAGGAAGCACAAGCCTGACCTCGTTGTGGTCAAAAGCAACCCCCCCCACCCCGAATTCAGCCAGCCCAGGCTTGCAGCCCCGGCCCTGAATGCTCCCCAGGGCTCGCTGCTGTGGCTTTCTGCCTCGCCTTTCTCTCGTTCGCAGTTGCATCCTCCCTCTCATGATTTGACAGGGAAGGTTGTCATTTCTGACAGAACCACGTACAGAAAGGATGTGAAACGTTTCCATTTCCATCCAGAATCCTATTTCAGAAGTAAATGGCCACATAATAACGTAAAAAGCAATTTTCTATCCACTTAATACATTTTCATTGAACCGAACCTTAAATATTGCAAACCAAAAATACAATGAAGGAAAGAAGCAACCAGTCAGCATGTACTGTGATTCATTCAGTGACAGCTGCATATCATTCAGAAATGAAAGAAAATAATAAAATAAGGTATGTCATTGAAAATCCTTCAAATACATTGACTGGGGACAGAATATATTTACATTGAAACTTCAGTAAATAATTAAATGCATTCGTGTTTGTAGAACAGCAGACTCGGAGATAAAACTGCTAAAAGACATGTAGACTACATTCTTATTTTGGTCTAGAATCTGTAACGTTTGTTAGCAATTAATATTTGAAAACCACATTTCCTTAAGGTATCGTGAAGCTTGAGTTTTCCACTTAAACACCAACCAAGGCAAGGTCATGGTTAAACTTGTTCTCCATGGCCTACACCCACCTACATGTATGCGGATGGATTTAAACATCCATCCAGTACAATCTAGTTGTAGTGGACATAACATATTTCAAGGAAAATGTATATGAGACTGTACATCCAGAATCTAACAAACACACGATAAAAAAAACACCCCAAACCAACATTGTTTTGATTCCTGAGATACTTCTCGTGTTCTAACATGTCACATTAGAGCAGTGGTTCTACTGCAAAGTTAGGGGGTGGCTTTACATGGTATATTTGGAGAAACAAGTTTATAAAATGCTAGTTTAGCCCGTGGGGTTTTTACAAGACTTTTATGTAAACATTACAGAAAAAGAAGAAAAAAATTGAGTGTACGCTTACATGAAAAATAGTATTTCACCCTTGTGAAAAAGAAGCGCCAAAATATTTTGTGTGATTATCCATTAATTTAAAAAGTACGCTTATTTAACAAAGCTGTGCATATCTAACATCTGTCATAATCCACAATCACAAAACGTAAAGGGAGGATGGATGATACAATCAATCCTGTTTCCATATTGCAATGCTCTTTTAGCATTGAAACCAAATCCTGTTTAAGACCAAACTATTGGTTCTTAAAACATTACTGAGTAGGCTGCACTGCTATGCCATCGTACAAAGTATGCTGCTGCAATTTTTGTTAACCGTAGCAGATTCCCTGCTCCCCTAGAGACAAACATCATTACAGTGGACACAAATGATGCCTGAAAGCGGGATGTCCGGCTACTGCATGTGCTTCTATAAAGCGTATCTGTACAAAACACAAATAAAAATCCAAGCAATGTTACCTGAAAATAATGATCCAAGAAAGGCAGTATTTCTGCAAATACTACCATGCAAAAATAAATGGATTTTAGAAAAAAAAAAGTCAGGCTCAAGAACAAAATTAGAAACACTGACTCGTGCTGTAAGTCTACGCAGCACATACTGGCTCATTTCTTGCGCTGCTGAGCAAGTTCAGCCTGGGCTTTATCCGTTGTACTGAAAAGATGTTTTGAACTCCACCGTGTGGACAAAAGGAGGTGTGTTGCAGCCTCAGAAAAGTTTCCCTCTTACCAAGTTTATTCCTTTCCTTAGGCAAACTGAGTAGTTCTGTACATAGCTATT